CCCCAAAACCCCAAAACCCCAAAACCCCAAAACCCCAAAACCCCTCATGAACTAATTAAATTTGAATCAAGAATTTTATAAAATAAATTTAAACAGAAAGAAAATGCCTAAGAAAGAAGGAGGCCAGATCACCTCGAAAGACATTCAGGGGATGATCTCCAAGTGGGCGTCCATCCCATTCGGAATTGTCGTGGTCCTTGTTGCAGGAGGAGCGCTCAACCTTGTCCCATACTTCCTCGATCTCAAGGACAAGCTAGGATTCGAGCCCATCCACCAGGAGTTCATCAGGTGGGGAGTCCTCTTCGGCTACTTCGGAGGTTTGTTGGCCGGACCAATCGTCGACATCATCGGAACTACAATCTCATTCTTGATTGCTGCCGTTATTGCAGGAGCTGGATTTGTAGGCCTTGCTTTTTACACTGACGCCTCCAGCGTTAATACTTTTAATTCCATTGTGATCGTCTCTTTGGTTTTACTAGTATCATTCGCTTGTGCTATTGCTACTATAGCTTCAATTGCTACAGTCATCAAGAACTTTTCAAGAAACGTTGGAGCTTTGATTGCCGCCGTTATGATCTCATATTATTATGCTGCTCAATACTTTGACACCAGCATCAGGAATGGATACTTCGAAGACTTGGATCTGAAAGTGAACATGCTTGTTTCAGGGGGGATCCATTTCCTAGTCTATGTGTTAGCTTCATTTATTGTTGATGAGAATGAACAATCCAGAGAGCTCAAGAGAGCTTCCTCAGTCACTGATAGACTTGGAATTTTCATCTATGCTGCTATTGCCGGGTGTTTCCTTGCTGTTGTTTATTTCACTTGCATCATTGCTGAACAATATCAACTCTCTATTGTTCTCATTAGCGTGATTATCCTTGCAAACTTCGTAGCTCTTGCTTTTACAGTCCAAGCTATGATTGGTCAAATCGAAAATAATGATCTTTCCGACATTAGAGATGAGCCAATTCCTCCAAAGAAAAACTTCGCTCAGATGCTAGCTGAAGGAAGATATTGGTTCTTGCTTATTGGAACTTTCATTGTCATTGGTACGGGATCAACTTACTTTATTAATGCTTCAGATGTTGCTACAGCCATTGGAAATGAAGATCTTGCAGATAAGGTCGACTACGCTTATTGGATTAGCGCAGTTACAGCTATTCTTGGAGGTGGTATGGTTGCCGCTCTATTTAATCAACTAATTAATGCTTGGCTCTTTGCTGCTATTGCTGCCTTTGCTTCCATGGCTGGATTTGCCTTAGTATTTTTGTCACAGACAAATGATTTCTTCTACTACCTCTCTGCCTTCTTTATTGGAGCTGGAACTGGAGGATGGTGGGTCGTCGTTCCTCAGATCATTCTTGATGATGCTGGACCGAAATCATTTGAAAGTTTGTGGGGAATGACTCTTAGTCTCAATTCCTTTGGTATGTTTGTATTTGACAGATTCTTTTGGTGGGTGAGTCAAAAGACTGAGCCAACAAAGCCAGGAAACTGCGATGGAACTTCATGCTATCTGATTACGTTCGTAGCATTCGGAGCCTTATGCATGATAGCGGGTATTTTATGTCTTGTTGGATTAAGCCAAGATGAAGGAACTGGTGGAGATAATGATGAAAAAAGGCCTCTCAGAGGCTCAGATGCTAATTCATCAGGAAGGAGATCTAAATCAGGAAAGAAAGGCAAGGGAGACAAGAAGTCTAAGAAATCTTCATCCAAGAAAAAGTCAAAATCAAAAACCAAGAAATAAATAAGATCTAACATCTTGAAGTCAATGAAATGCAATTATCAATAGTTTAAAAGCAACTAATATAGAGTGCCAGGGGTTCTAGAAGGGTTCCAAAGAAGAAATCATTTTTAGAGTGAGCCCGAAAATTAACCGATCTGAGCTGTTCTAATGTTGCTTCTATGGGCTCGTTGAACTCGATTTAAGGGAGCCAAACTATTTTTTGGGAAAATCATCAGGAGTAAATTAAAAATATCCTCCTCAAACCATAGTGGATAAATCAAGATTTACAGGATCTTCAAATGGCCAGGAGAGGTTTTTACACGGTGAAGAATAGACTCTAGCATCTCCATAAAAAGTTCTAGTCCACCTTACTCTTATGTTTGAGTTGGACATGAGTGGGTCTCTCGAATATGTGATCCATCCACCTAAAACTACAAAGGGTAATTTATTTCATTCCCACTCAAATCCTGAATATAGGATATACTTGGTAGATACATAAATACCAAAAGCCCAATTTATAAAATTCTATATTTGGTTGACTAAACGGGGTTTTGGGGTTTTGGGGTTTTGGGGTTTTGGGGTTTTGGGG